ACCAGGCATCACCTTTGCAGCTCAAGACAATCTCCCAAAGCTTCCCATTCCTGACCTAGAAACCTCATGCAAGAAGTACCTGGAGTCTCTTGAGCCTTTGCAAAGTCACAAGGAGCACCGAGAGAGTCAGGCAGCAGTACGAGACTTCCTAAAGTCCGAAGGCCCTGCTTTGCAAGATCGCCTCAAAAAGTATGCCGAAGACAAAGCAAATTACATCGAGCAATTTTGTAAGGCAATGTACCTTTTCAAGTTCAACTACATCAACTGATCATGATTAGGGTACGACTCTTACCTGAACTATGACAACCCTGTTGTTCTCAACCTCAATCCGTTCTTTCTTCTCGAAGATGACCCCACTCCTGCGAGGAACAACCAGGTCACCCGAGCAGCCTCGCTGGTAACGTCGGCTTTGGCGTTTGTTCGAGCTGTGCGAAGAGAAGAACTCCCTCCTGACACCATTCGAGGTCAACCCCTTTGCATGTACCAGTACTCGCGATTGTTTGGCACTGCTAGGATACCGACCGAGCATGGTTGCCATATCGGCCAGGATCCCAATGCAAAGCACATCGTTGTCATGGCTCACGGCCAATTCTATTGGTTCGACGTTCTCGATGACAACTCAGATCTCATCATGACAGAAAAGGACATGGCTCTTAACCTCGATGTCATTGTTGCTGATGCTTCGAAAGTACCACTGCAAGATGCTGCCAAGGGAGCTTTAGGCGTGTTGAGTACGGAGAACCGGAAAGTCTGGTCTGGCTTAAGAGACGTGCTCCACCGAGATGAGGACTCCAACAACTCTGATTGTCTCAACATTGTTGACTCTGCTCTTTTCATTCTCTGCTTGGACTACACAGAACCTATCACTGGCGCCGATCTTTGCATGAACATGCTTTGCGGAACGAGTCGGATCGAACGAGGTGTCCAAGTTGGTACTTGTACCAATCGCTGGTATGACAAGTTACAGATTATTGTGTGCAAAAACGGAAGTGCCGGGATCAACTTTGAACATACCGGCGTCGACGGCCACACTGTTTTGAGATTTGCCAGTGACCTTTACACCGACACGATCCTTCGATTCGCGCGGACTATCAATGGCCAAGCTCCCAGTCTTTGGGCTTCCATTAGTCCAGACCCGTCCAAGAGAGATCCAGACAGCTTCGGCGACGTTCAGACAACACCTCACAAGCTCGAGTGGGATATGCTACCAGAACTCAGCACAGCGCTCCGCTTTGCCGAAACCCGTCTCGCTGACCTGATCGCCCAAAATGAATTCGAGACCCTCGAGTTCATGTCTTACGGTAAAAATTTCATGACCACCATGGGCTTCTCGCCCGACGCATTTGTGCAAATGGCCTTCCAAGCCGCCTACTACGGCCTCTACGGCCGCGTCGAATGCGTATATGAGCCTGCCATGACCAAATTCTACTTCCACGGCCGCACTGAGGCCGTTCGATCTGTCACCAACGAATCCCTCGACTTTGTCCGCACCTTCTGGGGCGAGAATCCGGCCACCGCCAAAGTCGAAACGTTGAGGAAAGCCTGCCAGAAACACGTCGATCTGACAAAGATCTGCGCAAAGGCCGAGGGCCACGATAGACATATGTACGCCCTCAACTGCATCTGGCAGCGCTCGCTCGAGGATCCGATGATCGGGCTCGCAAGCGACACCGCTTCCTACGATTCCACCGGCCGCACTACCCCAGACATCGCCTCTACCAGCCCCTCCATGTTCTCCTCTCCGTCCTCCCGCAAATCCATCATCTCCGACGATGGATCCGTCACCTCCTCCCAAGTCCAAACAACCCAACACACCATGCCCGCCCTCTTCGCCGACCCGGGCTGGGACAAGCAAAACACGACCATCCTTTCCACTTCCAACTGCGGTAACCCCTCTCTCCGTCAGTTCGGCTTTGGACCTACGTCAGGCGAGGGTTTTGGCATCGGGTACATCATCAAAGATGGCTCGGTCTCTATTTGCGCCAGCAGCAAGCATCGGCAAACGAAACGTTTTGTTGATGCGCTGGAGGCGTACTTTTTGGAGATTAGGAAGTTGTTGAGGCAGACGAGAAAGGGGACTGGTGGCGATAAGAGCGCAAGCAGGGCGAGGGAGGCGGAGGAGAAGCAGAGTAAGAAGGGCGCAAAGGCCAAATCGAGGGGGAGAAATATCCTGGCGCATGCGGGTCAGCAGACGGCGGAGGCGCAGGAGGAGGGGTTGGAGGATGAGGATGAGGACGGCCTTGGTGGATGTGAGTATCTTTTCGTCTCTTTCTCTCTACTTTCGTCCTTCATTTTCCAAATTTGGAAACGAGTCGTTCCGTTGCTGACATTATCCAAGATGGCTTCTTCGACGCCGGAATGCTACTTCAGGCCCTCAAGGCGAACAAAGACGGCGCCGAGACACCCGGAGATAAGGCTGCGGCGCACAAGCGAAACATAGGGAGGAGATTGCAGTTGGCGGAGTACTGACAAGTAAGTAAGGGGTGCTCTTTGAAATCACGTGACCGGTATTCTTTTTGCATCTGCCTTTTATGTTGGCCTGGTATGTAGATGCATACGAGATATGAGACGGTTGGATATCTAAGCCCTGAGAGGGTAGCAAATTCTGCATATCATCCAAAATTTGAATATGACCCACAACGTGACGGTATTATAGGATCGAAATTGCAAGTGCAGGAGAAATTTTGGGCAGATGTGCCTCCTCATCCGTCATTGTTTGCTAAAGACGCAATCAGACCATACCAGAGAAGTCGCATATGCCCCATCATATTATGAGAGGGCATCAGACGCCAGAAACATTCAGCAACGAGCAACGCCGTCGCTCCAGCGGATTTATATCTGTCAATTTCAAAAAAGGGAGAGATATCAATTCATCCTCCTCTCACGACCTAATTACCTTCTCGAGCGCTTCGAGGAACATATCCGCTGCAGCACTAGTTAGCAAAGTCCAACACCAAACCCCAAAAGAAGAATAAATCTGCCACTCACCATGATGTCTCTGGAATACCAACATAGGTCTCAACCTTACGGCCCTCTCGCCACTACCTCCACAATTGACACCGACCGTCTTCAACAGCTTGAGCACCTCATCGCGTCTCGGACTATCCCACGCAATGAATAGTCCCTGCCCCTGTCCTCTCAAATTCTCGATTTCCCTTGGGAATCGCCTCTGCAGTCCTTGTAGTCCCTCATACAGATACGCGCCTACCGCTGCAGTATTCCGCACGAGATCCAGTCGTTCAATCTCCTCGACGATGGCGCGGAATAGAATCGCGCGAGCCGGATCACCCATCCACGTGTTGAATTGACGGTAAGGTTTGTTTGGTCGGAGTGCCGCATCGCCGTAATAGTAGCCAGCGGCCTGCGCTTTCTTACTGAAGGTGACCATGTCGGGCGGATGGGAGAGGTTCCAGTGATCATGGGCCCAGAACTGTCCGGTTGCGCCAACACCGGTCTGCACTTCGTCGACGATCATCAGAATGTTGTGTTTGCGGGTCAGGTCACGCAAACCCTGGAAGAACGCAGGGGAGGCATGATTGTCGCCGCCTTCGGATTGCACAGGCTCAACTACAATGGCAGCCGGGGGCAGCGGCCAGGTGGTGATGATCTCTTCGGTAGCAGCGAGACAGCGGGCTTCTTCGGCAGCATTTTCAGAATGGTGCGCTTCTAGGGGATATTTGAGCATAGGGAAAGGCGCTTGTGGCCAGTTGAAGGAGGGAATGTCGAGCTTGTGGATTGGTTTGCTGCGCGTCGTGGATAGACTGCCGAAGAGGCGGCCGTGGAAGCCAGATTTGAAGGAGAGAATTGAGAGGGCTGGGGAGCCTGGAGACTGGTTGTTCATGGCGCTGGACATTTCTTCAGTGGTGAAGTCTGCGGAGGCTCCGCCGCGCTCTTGTTGCCGTTTCCACATGAAGGCAGCCTTGTACGCAAGCTCGTTGGCATCAGAGCCAGTTGTTCCTGTGAAGACTTGGTTCAGGCCTTTGGGCGCTACGCGCAGGATACCAGTTTCGAGGATTTCCGCCCAGTCGTGGGACGGGAAGTTTCCCAATGCAGGGCGGTTTATGAGGGAGCTGGCCATTTCGGGGGATGTGGCGGCGAGGAGGAGGGAAGGGTTGCTATACCCTACAGGAATCGATGCGATTTGAGCGTATCTGGAAGGTAATTGTCAGCTCCAAATTGAGGTGTCAAGGAGGGAATCCTTGCACATCGAGTAGCACGTTTCCATCCAGATCTGCGATGCTGTTTCTGTCAACAAAGTTCCAATTCATTTCTCTCAAGGCCTTCCTTACTAATTCCCGTAGCTATTTTGGTAGTTGGCCATCATGTTCAAGCTCCGAGTATCAAAAACATTGTTCAGCCTCCGGATTGCTTCCACGCTCTTTGGCCCAGGAATTGATGTTTTGACGGTCGGCCCAGCAGGTTCGTCTGGAAAGAAAGCTTGATTGAGGGGCTCATTGTCAGACGCTACAGCAGCGGCAGCTGTTGCTTTTTTGCTCTGAGAAGGGGCTGTGAGGCGAGCAGTCTGGATGTAGGTGATCCTGAAGGTGTTTTGAGAGACTAGTGGCCTTATTTGGCTCGTAGAGCGGAGAAGGGATGCCATGTCGACGGGGGGGAATAAAGGTCAATCGGGAGTATGTGTGGAGTTGAACTCCCCTCGATTGCCACAATTGAAGGCCTGCGCGCGTATAGAGTTGTAGATAGCTGGTAGAGTGGTAGGAGAATTATATAAGATGACAGGTCAACGTGGGAGCGTTGACGGTTAGAAAGCTTGGAGATGGGTCCCACACTCCCACTCCTTGTCTTGACTCCTCCAGGCTTGAGCCGCCGCAAGCCGCATGAGGGGCTCCGCGTCATAGGCCCTGAACTAGACTAGCGCACAACGCTAACCCACCAAAAAGTCGACGCCGCTCTCAGCCTCTTTTCCTGACTCCAAAAATCCATCCAACTCCTCCATTCCCCTAAAATGACTTCCCAATACTGGGACAGTGCAAAAAAGATGTCTCTTCGACGGGGAGTCGAACCCCGGTCACCCGCGGACTTGACGAGTCAATGACAAGCGGATATCATACCGTTAGACCATCGAAGACAACTTGGAGCCTTATGATTTTGTAATGCTTATATCGCTGCAAGATTTCCTGGTCGGGAATAGCAGGGCGTAGGGGGAGATCCGGTACGATACAAGCTTACTGGCTTTTGGTCTGCATATGAGCAGTTCAGATTATTTAAAGTTGCTAGTCGCGGTCGCCCTCGAAGCTGTAGGTTGCTTAATCTGGAGTAATTCGTCCAGTTGAAAGCTGGAGTGCTCTTTGATCAAACCCAGATATTTTATGATCACGTGATATAGCTCGCAGAGTAACTTACGTAATCCAACAACCTCCACCTCCACTACTCGATATCAATCGTCTACCTGCGTAGGTAGGCAGGTGCGGAGATAGATGAGACGCTATTCTACATCTGAGCTAATAGATTTGCATATTTACTGTATCTCTACGTTCTTCGTGACAAAGCTCGGTTTACTCGCTCCCATCCCATCTGATCCACCCTCCAAATGCCCCCCTTCAAAGTCCCCAGCATCCTCAAGCGCCTAAAACGCCGTCGACTATGCAATTCCTCAAAGAACAGCCGCGATGGCACGTTGGATAATGACTGGTACAGCGACAATGATGATGACGACGACGAAGACGACAGCGACGTCGAATCTAGCCCAGAAGACATTCCTCCCTTCAAAAACGACATCAAGCAGATCTGCAGCGGCTGCGCTACCATTCCGCTCACATACATGCTGCAGCAACCCCAAAGATTCATGTCTAGAGCATCACGGGCTATGTACAGTTCCCATTCTAGTTACTATCTCGGCACTTTCGAGGAGATGCACGCGAAAGCGGAGAGGGGCGGGTGTCTGCTTTGCCGGGCTTGGTTGAAGCTACTTCCGCCCCTTGACGGGTATGCCGAGGGGAAATACCCTGAGCAAAGCAATTTCAGTGTTCAGCCAGCAACATCATTATCGACCGGACTGTTTGATTTGTTGGAGAGAGATTGGCGAAATACGAGTTTGCATAGCACGAAGCTGTACATCTCTGATTCCAGTAGGCGGCATAAGGGGGTCGAGTTCATGGTCACTGTCAATAGGGGATCGTTCTATTTGAACCGGGATGATGTTCGCTGGAATGAGCTGAAATCTCAGGTAGATTTCCGTCTGCCCTTGGAGTGGATGAGGTACTGTGAGGAGAATCATGAGACATGTAGTGTGTGGAGTAGGCCGAGGCTGAGGGAGGCTCTGAAGGTGTTTCGGTTGATTGATTGCAAGCGGACGCTGTCGACTGGCAAGCTTTGTGTTGTGGTTCCTGATGAAATTCCGGAATACGCAGCTCTAAGTTATGTTTGGGGCAAGCAGACTGACGATGGCTCCGGGAAAGAAGCCCCGTTAGAAAGTAGTACAAGTAAGCTAGACATCTCCTTCTTCCTGTTGGCATGAGCAATATAAGGTCTTCTGACGACTGCCGAATGCCAGAAGTATACTTTCGATTCTTCAAGAACTTTTACTGACTTTTACTATCAGGGGATGAAAACAGACGAGATACGTCGACTCCATATCGACTCGAAAACCTCCCCAAAGCTATCCGCGACAGCATCCACGCAACCACCAAACTCAACATTAACCACCTCTGGATTGACAAATACTGCATCGACCAAGCCGATAGCGCCTCCAAACACGAAACCATCATGAAAATGGACCTCATCTATTCCGCTGCCAAGATCACCCTTATTGCCGCCGCCGGAGCAGCCTCAAGCCACGGAATCCCAGGCGTAAGCTCCTCAAGCACTAGGACCCCACTACAGTCCATCGAAGTCTCAAAGACCATCGCTTTCGTCCCGATCAAGCACGCCAAAGACGCCATCCAAAACACTGTTTGGGCGACTAGAGCGTGGACCCTCCAAGAAGGCCTACTCGCTCGACGGCGTCTCGTCTTCACCCCTGAGCAAGTCTACTTCGAGTGCCGGGAAATGCAGCTTGCAGAGACTCTATCCGCACCCCTCGATCTGATTCACCAATCGCACTACGAGTCCAGACTCAAAGGAGGCTACTTTCACAACATGACCAACCACCACATCCGGTATTTCCGGCTGCTGCACATTTTCTGTGACTACACGCGGAGGAATCTTTCCTTTGACAGTGATCGTCTGAACGCATTTTTGGGCATTTTGAACAGTATGAGCCCGAGTATGAGCCATGTCTGGGGCGTGTCGATGAGTGCCGAGGAAGACGTCAAGCAGAGTTTCATTCGCAGTTTGGGATGGGATCACGAGAAGAAGTGGGCGCAGGAGAGTAGAAGCCCCCTGAAGCCAGAGAAGACCTTTCCGTCGTGGGCGTGGGCAGCGTGGGAGGGACCCAAGGATTACAACCAATTGGTGCACACAGAAGATATTGGCGTCACGTTCCACTTGAATGATGGATCGAAACTCGACCTCTCCAACGATTCCATCGAAAACGATTCTGCGAAACTTGAACGACACACCAGTCATCGAATCACTCTCCAAACGTATATTCTCACCCCCGATACCCTCGTCAAATCCGACGGCAAGGTCTTCTATGAGTACATATACACCTTCAACAATTACCGCTGCGCCATACAGCATTACCTCGGCAACGAAGCAGACGAGTTGGTTCTCGAGAAGATCTGCAATGAGACCTGCAAGCTCGTGTATACCGGCTCACTCCTTCATGCTGGTTCGAGAATTTCGGCAGAAGCGAGGTTTCTTATTGCGAGAGATACCGGTAATGGGGACGGGGATGGAAATCAGTTGACGCTGGAGAGGATTGGACTGCTCAAGATCATGTTTGATATGAACCAGGACGAGATGCAGTATTTGCGAGAGCATGCAAAGTTTGGGAGTGTAGATCTGGTGTGAAGTGCAGAACGATTTTGGATTTCAAGCCTGTCGCTTTCTATACCGTCTCTTTCGGTCTTGCACATTTACTCCGGGGTAGACCGCTTCCTGTGCCCTCTCCGTGAACTTCCAAATCGAAGACATTCAGGCTATTGGGAGTAGGTGGGTTCAGTACCTTGTCTGTCCTTGTGTGCGGGACCTGACGCCTACTCCGGACGAGCTCTTCCCTATACTATCTCGATATCGGAGTCCTCAAGTCTGCTTGGGCTGGATCCAGGATTCCGTCTAACCGTACAATTGTCAGACTGACTGAATCTACTTAGCATAGTTTCAGTCCCCTATCCACTTCACAGAATCGGATAGCCTAAGATGGTAGCCACATAAATCAAGCGACCAACCCTTCCCCTGTCTCCTTCAACTGGTTCTGGAGCAGAGTGGAAAGGGAGCTTCTGCAAATCTTCACACCGAGATACTTGCAATAAATCCTCATATCACTCATTGTAGCAATAGACACCCTTTTCGCACAAGATCTCGTCGTAGAGACATTGATTTGATGGAGAATTATTGCATCCAGGTCTCCCAATTCCGATCAACTAAAATCAAATCGGGCCCAGTCAGACCTAGCTCGCTATTTGGATCTCCATGCCTCCATGCATCCATGCATCGCCCATCTACTCCGCCAGTCTCACGCCAACACTGGCAACCAGATCGAGTCAGAGTCATTAATTGACTCCTCCCAAACAGGTACGCTCCATGTTAAGCTATGGTACAACTGATCAATTAATCGAGGGAAAAAGAAAGAAAAGATAAGGTCGCAGTCTCGGAGCTTCGTCCACTTATCCCACCACTCCGACCATACCACGCAACAAATTACGAGCCGAAGCAAAACGCCAAAGCTCTTGACTTACTCCGCAAACATGCGGAGGTCGGCCTCAATAATGAAAGAAAAATCAAAACGCGATTCACATGATGGTTGATGAAAAGAGCGCCACCTTGCTCTCTATGCTGGTTGATAACTGTGAGTGGTCCTCTCACAAAGAAAAAGGAGATGAAAATATGTTACCCTTGCTTTTGTGTGAGACTGACAAACGTCCAGAGGAAATGAGAGAAGAACCGGGAGCATCGAGCAAGGCTGAGGTCGGACGACGAGGTCGCAAAACGGAACGTGATCCCGCAACGGGAGATTGCGTTTTGACTACGCGCCCCAGACAGAGTCGGATCAAGTCTCCAACTGCTTCAGCCTTGCCGGATTCATGCCCGCATACATATCCTCTTTCTTCTTCTTCGCATCCTTCTCCTTGTCGAGTTCGTACGAGCCATTCGTGGAGGGGGTGGCAAGCTGCATTGGGCTCGGGTGACCGTTGGCCTCCGCTTCCACGATATGTCCGTTGCCATTCTTCTTCGCATCGTTGATGTAGTGCTTATCCAAGACTGCGCTGGTGCGATACGCCGACGGATGCTCGGAAGTGCCGGCAGCCTCTTCCGCCATTGCCATCTCGGGATCCGTCATCGCGTGGCCTTCGTTGTCGAATGTCAGATTTTCGTCCGATGGAGGAAACGGTGGCGGGGGCGGGGGAGGTGGAGGAGGGGCACCTGTTTTGGCCTTCTTCAAGATCGAGGAGTCGCTTTCGTCCGCCGGCCCCTCTGCGATCATCGACTCCGACTCTCGCTTGCGCTTCCGGTTTGGAGGGCTCAATCCCAGCGGTGAACGCAGGCTGGTCAGGCCAGCCATTTCTGGCGAACGCAGACTGCTCATTCCAGCCATGCTTTCATCATCGTATGGCTCGTCCATGGCAGCAGGAGTGTCTTCAGGAGTGTCCCTCATAGGGCTGCCAAGAGGGGTTGTGGATTCGGCAGTTGTGGCGTCTTTGGACTTCCTCGCCTTGCGTTCGTTAGACTTCCTCACAGCCGACTCGAACCAGCCCTTGGCGAGTTTCTTCATCGGCCTCAAGCTGTCTTCAGCAACTTGGGTGACATCTTTCACGCGATGCTTCTGGAAATCGCCTTTCACGATCTTTTGGCATAGCTATGAAGAAGGTTGGAATTCGATTGTTCCAAGGTGGAGTGCTGTCAAACTTACCTGCTTTGTGAAGCGCTTGAGCTCTTCGCGCTCTATCTTGTCCTTATATCTACTCGCATATGCGGTGATGACTTTGGCAACCTGCTACCTGTTAGTGCGGATCGTGACTGAAGACG